CTCCTGGCTGCTTCGAAAAACATCACTGTGAGGCAGCATCCTCTGCACGGCGAAACCCTACTGCCTACAAAACGACATCTCCCAAAGTGCATCTATTCTACCCTGTTTTCATGCTTTCTGTTGCAGTGTGGTCATATACCCTGAAAAATTAACGGAAACTGCTAACTCGTTCTCAAGGCCTTACAGGCCATTCTGACGGTCAGGAAAAACTTACAGAACAGGGATCTTTGTCCGTATTGTCGGCGTTTTCGGATAGTTTTCTCTTTCCCATGCCGAAGTTGCTCTGTTTCGGCCTGCTTAAGTAGCTGTAGCATTGAACAACTACAAAGCTCACGGCGAGCACAACCATCAGGGCTGAAAGCGCCAATATCTGAGAAATATGGCGCGGATGTCTGTCGAAGGATCCCAAGAAGGCCTCATGCCTGACAAGCACATCATTTTCAAGGGGGGATGCTTCAGAAGTGACCCCAAAAACGCCTTCTGCTCCGTCAGCGCCGCTCAGTGCGACCACTGCGAGCGAAGTAGAAGTGATTACAAATTGTGGTATACGGAGCATTTTCAGAAAGAATTCATGCTATAGAAAAAGTGGATTCAAGTTTTGATTGGGAAACTAGACGCAGTTGACCCAAGTGAGTAGCTCTCCCGACTCTCTGCACTGGTTGACAAGAATTGCGAAACGAAGTGTGGGCTGTCCCAGGAGCTCGTCGAACTGGCAAATCGATAGCAACAATCAATGCGCATAATTCTAGTTTTTAAAACAATCAGAGCTTCAAAAAAACACTCAAAAATCCAACGAATTGTCCCGATGCTTAGGGAGTCGGATTTTCTGGCTGTCGGTTTTTCGGCCTACTGGTATGTTAACACTGTAATTTTACGTTGATTTGCCTAGCGCGCCGGCCATGAGCCCCTTTCCTGAAAAACAGCTAACGAAATTCCCAGCAAACTAAAAATAGAATGACACCTGGAAAGTGGTATGAAGATATTCAATGAATGAATCTGGTCGTGCAGCTGTTGACTGCTCCGTTGTATGCGGGGTCCGATGGATGACCCACTCCGGTATTGCTTATTGAATACAAATTGTAAGGCATTTTTACGCTTCCAGGAAATGCAATCAATATCAAATCTCCTTTCTACAAGGATCATGGAACCATAGCCGTGTCGTCGGGCGGGTTCTTCGCTGCCGTGAAACTGGGCCGCGAACTGGTGACCCGCGACGATATTCAAGGTCCATTCACTGCGGGAGAACGGCGCCTAAATGGGCCCAGCATGAGTTTAAGCTCTAAATGTATTGTTGTTGTTTGATTCATGCAATTCGATTAGTAATTTGGCGAGATTCTCGACGGCGTTCGCCCCTGAAATCTGCAGGAAAGCGCGGGCTGGGTTCACGACGGTCGTCCAAATCAGTGCCTGAGGGACCCTCTTAAGCAAGAACTGTTTCTTTTGAATTCGAAATCTGATGGGCTCGATTGGCCAACTCCGTGGGAAGGGCACACCAAGCAGCTCAGTGTTGAGACCCAATTCTGTCGATGATACTGGCCACTTGCTCATTCGTGGCACTCCGCCGGGTTCAACGCTTTTGAAATAACGCACTGTTAGGGCTTGGAGCCATACGCAACAAATAATAAAAAGGAAAGATATAGTTTGGCGGCTCTTTTATGTCATTAAAGGGTCTGTCTGGGGTTTTGAATTTCGTCCTAGGCAACAACGGCTGAATGATGGGGTGGATTCGGGGAAGCGCTGTGAACGTCCACAGCATGAAAAAGCAATTAAATGTGTCGAAATGATTTATCTTTTTTTGTTAAAGAGAAGAAAAGGACTCCGTTAAAGCATGCAGTCGCTACTGTTGATGGACCTTTTCAGCTGAAGACGCGTTCGCAATGACTCTGGGACGGCATACACCTCGAAACACGTCATTTTTTTCTGCATCCCACCTATCTCACACAAGCTTTTAAACACGGTGTGCAGAATTACATTCTTTTGCAGGATTTGTCGCCCAAGTGCACGTTGTGGCTTCAAGTATTGAATTCCAAGGGCAAGCGAGCATTCCACGTGCAGCCCAGACCGTTGGACGATTCCTTCAACCAGGGCACGCACAGCTGCATTTTCTATTAAAGTCTTACCGAAGTAAGCTGCTGTTTTGGAAACGCCACCGGCAAAAGCACTCCCTCCAGCAAGGGCAGCAGCAGCTAGTGGTCGTTGGCACCTTGATGCACAGCATCGCCTGCAAAGTCCCGGCAGCGTTTAGAGTTAAAAGTTTTCGGTATAAGCGGAATCAGAATTTATCTCAAGACAAGTATTTACTTCTCGAAAGTCTTGTCAGTTGGGGAGGGCTTGGCCAGCCGGTTTAAGACCACATGCTCTCCCATCGGTTCAGGGCAGTGGCAGGTCCATCCATATGATTCAGGATTCAGGTTTTATATGCTGCACACGTTATTGTTATAGATATACGCTACAAAATTTTCACAGGATCTGCTGGCGCGCACACCAAAAGTATAATTTTCAGTTCATCAGCAGTTGGTGGGACGAATACTCATAAAACATAAAAGGCGTCGCGCCTCTGCTTCAAGAAGGGGTAGTTTGAAAATAGTAAGAAGGCTCTGACCTATTGAAGACAAATGGTTATTTGAACAGTTCCTGGATGCTGAGGAGCAGCGGCAGCATGGCTTTATTGTTCTCATTTGAAGGTGACCCTTGGAACTTCCGTTGATGGGCGCTCAGTAGGTCTTAGAGCACGCGGCAGTCGACTGTTCCCGTACCGTCTCACATCAAAATCATCAAGAATTTTAAGTTGCTGGGGCTAAGACTGCGGACTTCGCCTCAGTAGCCCGAAGAAAATTGTCAGCTGCGATATCCACGCCATGCTTACCCCACCTTTGCTGACCTGAAGAACAGCAGGTGCAACACGCACGGAAGCATCTCTATTAGTTTGTTCACTACACCTTGAGCTACCTACAGTTATTCAGATGCGCCTAGATATAGGAAACAAGCAATTGAACTCGTGGCTTCTGTGCCAGCTCTCGAACGAAACTCGGTAGACAGAACCACGCATTCGTTGCAGACATGTCCATTTACATTCCCCGCAAACTACGCAAGAGTGACGTTGTTTGGAGGACACTATATCAGCTTGAAGGTGCGATAGAGGGAGTTGGAAAATGCGGCTTTTAGGTGGCGCATAGATCGCAGGACGGAACTGGAAACCGAAGGACCAGAAATCAAGGAATCGGAGGAAAGCAAACACACTGATAAGGATTGTTCTTCAGATATTTTCAACAAGCGACATGAAGACTACTCTAGCTGCTCATAAGAGGACAGACAGTGCTGAAGAGAAAGAAATGTTTCCTAGGCTACACCTTGAAGCACAGGACTCTGGAAGAGTTACACGCCAAATGGAAGCGCTCGAATGGGGACGTTGCTTAAGAGAGTTCTCTGGTGCAGCACGTAGATGAAAAGCATATACTCACCAGACTCTTTGACGTTTGACATAGACGGCATTAAGCGCGTTCAAAAGAGGCCGCTATTTTACAATGATCAAGCTGAACTGACGAAAACGAGCAACACTGCGAAATTTTGCAGGGAATCAGAAAAAAACGCCAAGGAAACACTTCAAATATTGGCGTGCACTTCTTGTAGAACTGATCACTTCAAGAGTCACTCTGACTCTCCACGCAACAAATGCTTCTCATTAATGAACAGCTAAGAAGGTCACCATGCTGCAAATCCACAATTTCATGCTTATTTCCATGGATTTAAAGCATGGACAAAAACAGCGGATACAAAAATAGCGGACCTTTGTCCAGCTGCTCTTCGCTAGCGGATTCCACATCCTTGTGGCAGGAAGCAACTGACCCTGCAGCAGCACGAAATAGTTCAAGGGAAATCCACCTCAATTATAAGTGAGACTGTTCAGAGTGAATTAGTAGCTTCAAGAGTTGAGTTGCGCAGGTCCGAACCAGAAATCCACCCAGGAAACTGCTAGTTGCCTTGTTTAAAATCCTGTCTGAAACTTCGTTTCAACAGCCTGAGGGTTGGGGGTTGTAACTAGAGCATCAACTGTGGTTTTGGCTGTGAGAAACAGCCGCCATCAAGCTGCACTTGAACCGACCAGCTTTTGACGTTAGAAGATCCAATAAGGTTCCTCCTTGCTTCTGCACTAGATTGAAGCAACGACTCCTACTAAAGCTCACATCAGGTGAGCTGAATAAACCCCACAGACACGTGAAGATGATGTCCAGAGGCTCAGTAGGGCTGAGCCCAGCTGCATTTGCGTGAGACCCTCTTCCAAAAGGAAAGGAAACAGTCAACGAACCATTTAGGTCGGGTAGCACCCCCGATGCTACGTGAAAACCGCCTGAGGTTCAAGTTCTAAAGCAAGCCACAGTACGCGCTTTCCGCTTACCACACTTGAACTCCTATGCTTTGTTCGAGGGCTGAAAATACGGATCTCTCAAAAGTCTGTCAAGCCTATTGACTAGAGCGTATCAGCAAACATATTACATTCTAAAGCCTGAAGGCCAAATCCAAGAAACTCTATTTTCACAAGATGCAAGACTTCGCTGCATTCTTGTACCCGAGTTGTAAATTCACTCAGTGTATTCACCTTTAGCTGCTGTAACTGCTGGAACGCAACTGCGAATCCTCCTCAGTTCACACGCAGCTACACAAGTCCTAAAGGCACTTCAAGTGTTGACTCGAAGCCCCAAACCCCGAACTTATGCATCAGCGCAAACCTTGGTTTCTCAAGGAGCCCACAGGTGCATGCAAGCAGCAGCGTTTACCTGAGAAAGCAGCCAGAGAAGAAGCCGCTCCTGCTGCCGCTGCTTCTGCTGCTGCTGTTACTGCTGCTGCTACTCTTTTTGCTACCGACAAAACGGCATGCAAACACAGAAAAACTGTCAAGAAAAGTTGTGAAGACCCAGCCCATGCCCTCACAGCTGGAGGCAGCACTTAGGTCTGCTGCCTCTCCTCGGGGTCATAAGAAACGCAGCATCTGTTTATTTTTCTCAAAGAAAGCTGCTGAGCTTCTGAAACGTCTCATTGTTGTCTCGCTGCAGAGCAGCAGCAGCAACAGCAGCAGCTACCTCCCCTGCTTCTGCTGCTGCTGCTTGTGCGCTCGTCGGAGAGGTGACTGCTGCAGGCTTTAGCGCAGCCAGAGTAGCGCCTGCAGCTTGCCTTGCGGCTGCAGCAGCAGCAACAGAAGCAGCACCAGCAGCACCAGCAGCACCACCAGCCTCCAGCAGTTCCGTCCCTGCTGCCTCGCCTGCTGCTGCTGTTGCTGCAGCCGCCGGCTCTGCATGCATTGGCAGCTGCTGCTGCGAACAATCCAATGAAAGCAAATCAGGACCCTCTAGAGATGGCCGGAAATTTCCTGTCAGCAAATAAATAGCCCGCTGCCGCTCCGTGTCGAAAACTTTGTTGCTGACATACCTGCAGGCAGCAGCAAACGGGGGACGCAGCGGTGCAGCAGCAAAAAGAGCAGCAATAACAAAGGCAGCAGCAACAGCGCCACAACAGCAGCAGCAGCAGCAGCAGCAATGAACGCACCGCTGCACAGCATAAAGCGCGCTGGTTCTTGACTGAGCTATCCAGGGCCTTTCCTTCATTCCCTTGATCATTTTTTCCCAAATTGCTGCTGCTGCTTCGGCACGTATGGCGGCCCCCTGCTGCTTCTGCTGCTGGTCTCGCTGCCCAGCAGCAGCAGCAGCAGCAGCACGAACTGGGCACTGCACAAACTCCGCTGCATGCAGCGCCGGAGAACCAGCGTACTGGATGGAAATGTTGTCGCCAATGCCGCGCCAGAGGGCCCCCAAGACACTCACAATTGCTGCTTTTTCTTTGAAAGCTGGCAGCGACACTGCAGCAGCAGTAAGAGCGGCAGAAGCAGCAGCTGCTGCTGTTGTGTATGTGAATGCGCCAGGCCGTTCTCCAACAGCTGCTGCCAAGGGGAAGCCATACGCTGGCAGCAGCTCATCGGCAGTCAAACGCGAGGCTGCTGCTTGTTGTGGGGATTCAGCAACAGTAGCAGCAGCAGAACCAACAGCAGCAGGTGCTGCTGCTGCTGCTGCTGCTTCTCCATTTTGCTCGTAAATAGGCTGCCCAGGGCTTTGAACATGTCCCTTCAGTTTCCCTGCTGCTGTGGCCCCTTGTGCTGCCAGGCCTGCCGGGGTGCTTGGCTGCTGCTGCTGCTGCCGCTGCTGCTCTGCGTCAAGCAGCAGCCAAGCATGCTTGTGCTTTGCTGCTACGGTTTGCTGCAGCAGCAAACCTTCTGCTGTCGCCTTCAACACGTCTTGCTGGCTCTGCAGGAAGAAGCAGAAGTGAGGGCATGCAACACCAGGGCCGCAAAGCCCCAGAGCCCTCAGCTGTACGTACAGCGCAACAACACCAAGACACACGTGCGCTATGTTCGTGCGGTCTAGACAGTCGATGCAGTTGAAGCGCACCACGCCCCGCTGCAGCAGCAACTGCTCCTGCTGCTGCTGCTGCTGGCGCTGGAACAGGAAGAACCCCGTTTGCTGCAGCAACTGGGAGCCCAAGACCGCCAGCTCAGCGAAGGCTGCATCAAAGCCATCAGCCTCGCTGCGCGCATGCCAGTCCATCATGTGGTAGATAACTTCGGGTAGCGCCTGCTGCTGCTGCTGCTGCTGCTGCTGTTGCTGCTGCTGCTTGCAGCTATACTCGTCAGCAGCAGAGCCCCGTGCCGCCGCTGCAGCAGGGCCTGGGGAGGTTCTGCTCGTGCTGCGCGTTTCGGGCGTGCAGCAGTTGCTCTTGCTGGTGTTGCTGCCGCTGGCGCTGCTGCTGCTGCTGTTTCCAGCTGCAGCAGATCTGGAGTGTACGGACACCTTGAATTCGTCGTTGCAGTGCAGCAAAGCTTCCCTGTAAGCTCTGCTTAATGTCCCCTCCACTGGGTGCTGCTGCCGAACAAGGTCCAGCAGCAGCAGCGGCTGCTGGTAGCGCGTGAGCAGCCAGCGCAGGTGTCGCTTCAGGTGTACGTACACCTCAGCAGCAGGCAAGTCGATGCACGTCGTCGGAGAAGGCATCAGAAATGAAAATAAAAGTCTCTTTGAAACACTTTCGTGTCTCCAAAACACTGGAATGGATCCCCTTAGAAACACAACAGCAGCGCAGCAAACGGAAAAGCGCCACTTCGAGCCCCGGGGAGCTGCTGCAGCAGCAGCTGCTGCTGCTGAACTAGCTGCTGCTCCTTCGGCTGCGGGCAAACAAGCGGCGCCCACGCCAGATGAGCCGCCAGCTGTGGGGCTGAGTGTTGCTGCTGGCGGTGCTGCTGCTGCTGCTGTTGCTGCTGCTTCTGATGCTGCTGTTGTAGTGCTAGGCAAGCCCAAGGACACAGTGTCCGCAGCAAGCGCTGCTGCTGCACTGGCTACTGCTGCTGCCTCAGTTGCTTCCGGCACCGCAACAGCCGCCGCTGTTGCTGCTGCTACTGCTGCTGCTGTTGCTGCTGTTGCTGCCGCCGGCACTGTGGCTTGCGGTGGCAGCACACGCCACAGCATCTGCTCGCATTCCACTTCGTTCGCGGCACCCAAACTGCTCCTGCTGTCTGCTACTGCTTCTGCTGCTGCTGCTGCTGCTGCTGGGTCAGTGGGCCTCTCCAGGCCTCGGCTGTAGAAGCGGGTCCCAGCAGCAAAGCGAGACCGCCGCGCCAAGACAGACAACTGGAAAAACTGAGCATTTTTCAATTGCTGCTGCTGCTGCTGTTGCTGCTGCTGCTGCTGCGAAGAGGGGATGATGATAGTTTGCTGCTGCAGCCCTCCTTGGATGAGTACAACCTGCCAAGGGGAGAAGCAGCAGCCTTTTGCTGCTGCTGCAGATGAGCAGCAGCAGCAGTAGCCAGTACACCAAGCTTTGTCATTGGTGCTGACAGTGACATTGCTGGTGCTGCTGCTGCTGCTGCTGTCGGATGTCGAGCCTCCAACGAAACAGAAACCGCTGCTTGATGCTGCTGCGTGAGCATTTGCTGCTTCTGTTGCTGCAGCATCTTTTGCTGCTGCTGCTGCTGCTGCGTGTCGTGCGCGCCGCTGCATCTCCCGCAGCATGAATTTGTTGAAGACGAAATGGCCTGCAGCTCCTCGCTGCAATTTCCTGTGCCCGCTGCTGCAGCAGCTGCAGAAGCAGCTAGCTTCCGGCTGCTGCCCTTCCTGCTCCTGCTGCTGCTGCTGCTGCAGCTGCTGTTGCAGCGAAAGCGTAAGGTCTATGGAGCCCGAAAACAGCAGCGACTGAGGCGCTGTGCTAAAAGCTGACAGCAGCAAACAGCAAAGCCGCTGCTCCTTCTCCAGCAGCTTTCGGAAATGTGCAATTTGCTGTGGCTTCATGCGGTGCTGCTGCTGCGGCAGCTGCTGCTGCACTTCGAGCAGCTCGGGGGGCGACGCGTAGCCGCTGCTGCTGCTGGCGCCGCTCCTGCTGCTGTCTGCTGCTGCTGCTGCTGCTGCTACCCTGACCTCCCCCACGTCCACGCCCGCGGGGGAGCAGCAGCCAGCAACGCGGGGGCCCCCGGGGGCCCCATTGTAGAAGACCAGCCGCTGCAGCTCGAGAGCTGCAGCAGCAGCAGCATCTGCTGCTGCTGCGTGGTGCAGCAGCTGCGAGTCTTCCCATTTCCAACAGAAAAGGGGAACAAGTCGCAGCCCCTCCAGAGCAAAAACCGGCAGCGGATCCAGACCCTCGTCAATGTCTTCTGCTGCAGCAGCAGCAGCAGCAGCAGCAGTAATGTCGGGAAGGGCCCCTGCTGTTGTCTTCTCCGTAATTACACACAAGTAAACCCCACACAGCAGCTTCACAGCGCCCAAGAGCCCAAAGGCTTTGTAGGCAGCAAAGCAGCAGCAGGGGCTTTGGCCGCAGAGGCCTCTCTTAGCAGCAACTTCTTTGCTGCTGCTGCTGCTGCTGCTGCTGCTGCCGCTGTCGCTCGCAGCTGGGCTGCAGGTGTCGATCCTTTTGCTGCTCACCGATGATGTAGCCTCGTCATGCTGCTGCTGCTGCTTCTGCTGCTCACGCTGGGGCCGCAGCAGCAGCCGCAGGAAGTCTGCGTTGTGGCGCTGCTGCTGCTGCTGGTGACAGAACTGCTGCTGCTGATGCTGCAGCAGCAGCTTCGCCGACTCGAAAGCGCAAGCCGTTTGCAGACAATGCTGCTGGTAAGAAATCACGCCCTCGTCTTCTTCTTCGCTGCTGCTGCTACCGCCGCCGCTGCTGCTGCTGCTGCTGCCGCTGCTGCTGCTGCTGCTGCTGCCGTCTGAGCACCTGCTGCTCTTGTCTGCTGCAGCTGCCGCACTGAGCACCGCCTTCTTAAGAATCAGCAGCCGTCCATAGCAGCCGCAGCTGCAGCTGCAACCCTCGCTTGGGCCATTTGGACGGGCAGCAGCAGCAGCTGCTGCTTGCTGCTGCTGCTGCTGCTGCTGCGAATTAAGCGCGAGGAGACAAACTTTGTCAGGAAGCTCGTAAACTGTTATCTCCACCACAGGGGGCCCCATAGTGAGCAGCAGCAGCGGCCCCACACCCACTGAAGCACGAGGTGTACATACACCCCAAAATACCACGAAGACACCGCGGAAGCAAAGACCGACAAACCTGCTGCTGAGGAAGAGCTGCTCCTGCTGCTGCTGCAGACGCAGCAGCTGCCGGTGCTGCTGCCTGCTCGGCTCCCCCTTGAACCTTCAACGCCTGCTGCTGCTGCTGCTTCTGCTGCTGCTGTGCATCTGTACTTTGCAGTAGCGGCTTGCCTCCTCTAGGGGGCGCAGCAACTCCTAGTTAAAAGAAATTGATAAGTGGTCAGAGGCGGGCTCTAGGGGGCCCCACGGAAGAGGAGAGAGCTTCAGGGAAGCAGCAGCAGACACCGCGAGCTGCTGCTGCTGCTGCTGCCGCTGCTGCTGCTGGCGTCGAGGGGGTTGTGCTAGCGGTGGCTGCGGGTTTGGGGCTAAGTGTAGGCTTTTGCTGCGCTTAAAAAGGGGAATTTGACTCAATTTGACAATAAAAGTACAATTAAGTTGCATTTAATCTTGAAGAACTAGCGACAAAGGGTGAAAGGAAGCAGCAGCAAGCTGCAGGGGCCCCGGGCTGCTCACGAGTTGGATGGGGGCTGAGGCAGCTGCTTCTTCGTGTTGCTGCTGCTGCAGCTCCCTGGGCTTTGTTTGCATCGTTTCTTCTCCGGAAAATAAATTTACATCGAATATAACAAATTAATTCATTTAATTACCTTTTTGCTGCGGTCTTAACCCTCTCCGGGGGCTCCGCACTCCCCGCGCCTCCCCCGCCTGCCTGTGCGGCGCCAGCGGGGGCTCCCCTTTCTTCTTTTTTCTCGTTTTTTTCTTTATTTATTTTCTCTATTTTAATTCATTTGTTAATTCAAAAGTAAGTTTTAAGATTCCTCAATCCCCTGGCTTCGACGGGCCCAGCAGCAGCTGCTGGGCAAGCGTGCATGCAGCTGGGGAGGCAGGCGCCGTCTATTGGTTTGGGGGGCCTCCTGGGGGCCTCCGGAACCTTTGTTGGTATTGCTGCTGCTGCTGCTGCTGTTGCTGCTGCTGCTGCCGTTGCTGCGATGGCTGCTGCTGCTGCTGCTGGCGGCTGCTGTTGTCGCTGCTGGTGCTGGTGAAGCTAAGGTTCGCTGGTGCCGCTGCTGCTGCTGGCTGCTGCTGCTGCCCCTTCTAGCTGCTGCTGCTGCTGCTGCAGTGTACGTACAGCGCGGGCTGCTGCATGCACGCAGGCAAAGGCATTATGGCGGCAGCAGCAGACGGGGATAAGGCGGCGCCGCACTTGGTGAATAGGGACAACCCGGTGGGTCTTTTTCTTCTTTTTCTGTCTTCTTTCTTTTTAAGCTCTCGTTTTTCTCTAAGTTAAATTCTATTTTTAAATTAATTAAAATGCATTTTATTCTCCAAAGTTTGGTTTTAAATTGCCTTTTTTTATTCAAAATGTTCTTTTCTAGATGCATAGTAAGACACATATACTCGCCTGTGTCTGCATTGTCTTAGCTGCATGCGTTTGCTCTATATATGTACCTCTGACGAGCAGCAGCAGCAGCAGCAGCTGCTGCTGCCGCAGCGGGCGCTGCTGCTGCTGCCGTGTTGTTCGCTGGTGCCGCCGCACCCTTTCTGCTTGCGTTTTCTTCCGGTGCTGTAGAGCGAGTCGCTGTTGCTGCTGCTGCTGCAGCAGGGTGTTTCCCTGCTGCTGCAGCAGCAGGGTGTTTCCACTGCTGCTGCTGCTGCAAGTGCTGCTGCTTAAGTCCTGCTGCTGGTGCTGCACTCACCCTCCCTCCCGCTGCCGCCTCCCCCCACTCCCCCCTCCCCGCCACCGCTGCCGCTGCCGCCGCCGCCGCTGCTGCTGCTGCTGCTGCTGCTGCTGCTGCTGCTGCTGCTGCTGCAGGAGGGGGGCCCGCTGACGCTGCTGTCGCGGTGCGTGCTGGACAACAGCCAAGTGCTGGTGAACTGCCGCAACAACAGAAAGCTGCTGGCGCGGGTGAAGGCGTTTGACCGGCACTGCAACTTGCTGCTGACGGACGTGCGGGAAATGTGGAGCGAAGTGACCCGCGGGGGCGGCAAAAAGAAGCAAAAAGTTGTCAACAAAGACAGATTTATATCCAAACTGTTCCTCCGCGGAGACGCGGTCATTCTCATCTTGAAAAACCCCAAATAACCCGCGAAAAACGCTCCAAAACGACCCCCCACACCCCAAACCCTAAACCCTAAACCCTAAACAACCCTAAACCCTCAACCGGGCCGCGCGCCCGGATGCCCTGCAAACCCTCAGTTGTCAAAGGCTTTCCGAACCCTTTCCGGGGGAAAACGCGTCTTTCATCTTCGGAACGCCGGTTAAGCAAATTCCTGAACCCTAAACCCTTTCTTGGGGTTTTTGACCGCGCCAGCCACGAGTCCTAAACCCTCCTTAGCTTTGAGAGGCGCCACAGACCCTAGCCTAGTACGGCAAAGGCCGCGCAAACCCTAAACCCTCATTTAGCGCTTACGGGCCGCGCAAACCCTGCAGCCTAAACCCTTGTTTAGTGGTTCACAAACCCTAAACCCTATGTTGGGGTTAAAGTAAAGTGCAACTGCCCTTAGGCGCTCTTTTAGGGTCTTGCTCAAACTCTAAATACATGCGAACTGCCAACATATTCATATAATAATTGTGCATTATAAAATAAAAGTCGTTTTTTGTATTTTCCGTGCAAAATTAATTTATTTAAATGAAATATGTCTTTCTCAGGTGTACGTACTGTGCAGGGAGTGCATGCGCATTTCTGCAGACTGCGTTTAATCATTGTTTACTAAAATGAATTTTTAAAAGTTGAATTAAATATGCATTTACAAAGATAAATACATCTATGAACGTAGGCTGCAGCAGCAGCAGCTGCAACAGCAGCAGCAGCTGCTGCAACAGCAGCAGCAGCCCAATTGGCAGCAGCAGCAGCCCTAGCAGCAGCTGCACTAGCGGCAGCAGCAGGCGGCACTATCAGCAACAGCAGCAGCAGGCTGCACTACCTGCAGCAGCAGCTGCACTAGCAATAACAGCAGCAGAAGTATTAGCAGCAGCAGCAGCAGCAGCAGCACTAGCAGCAGCAGCTGCTGCACATTTATTAAATAAATACTTGAACAGAAATGACGCAGTGGTGAGCAGTTCACAGAGGCTGTCGAAACACTGCAGACAAAACGACGAAAGACAAAATGCGCAGCAGCAGCAGAAGCAGCAGCACCTGCTGCTGGTGCTGCTGCTCCTGGTGCGCTGGCTAGTCCTAGTGCTGCTGCTGCTGCTGTTGCTGCTGCTACTGCCGCTGAAGCGAGCAACAAACATAAACTGGGAAGGCACATGAAGAGTCTCTTCCACTTGCAGCAGATAGGCTACGCAGCACTTGCTGCACTAGTTGCAGCAGCTGCTGCTGCTTGTTGCTGCTGTTGCATTGGCTTCTTCAGGGCTGCAGCAGCAGCAGCAGCAGCAGCAGCAAACAGCAGCCACAGTCACTGGAGGCACAGTTGCCGGAGCAGACATAGCAGCAGCACATGACGCGGCAGCAGCGAGAAGTCCTGCTGTTGCTGCTGCTGCTGCTGCCGCTGCTGCTGCCGCTGCTGGCTCATATATCCACTGGAGAGACGTCTTTGAGGTGTGTGAAGACATCTCGTGCTGCAGCAGCACATGACAGTCACAAACCCCAAACCCTAAACCCTCGACTCCATGCCCCAAACCCTAAACCCTCTAGCCCATTACCTGGCTAAAAGACCTACCGAGGTCTTCGAATAGCCGATTCACGTTTTGCCCCGTCTGCAGCACACATCCTAAACCCTAAACCCTAAACCCTAAACCCTAGGACGAGATGGGCAAGCATTATACAACGACTCCAGCTGCACTCGCTGCAACAGCAGCACAGCAACTCGTTGTTCTTGTGGCTTCTTTTCTTGCTGCTGCTGCTGCGCCGCTGCTGCTGCAGCTTATGGTTCATTTGCTGCTGCTGCTGCTGCTGCTGCTGCTGTTGGGACGGACCTTTGCAGAGCATTCGATGAAAGCGAAATGATTTGATGCGCAGAACTTCTTCACTTCCTAAAACGCACGACCGAAACTATGAACTCCAAACCCTAAACCCTAAACCCTAAACCCTAAACCCTAAACCCTAAACCCTAAACCCTAAACCATGTCCTCAGCTCACCTCGACGCCTCGCTTAACTTGGGCCAAATCCTTTTTGTACTGCTCTGCCTCGGCCTCCGCTTCCGCAGCAGCAGCAGAGTCAGCTGTTGCTGCTGCTACTTCCAGCATCTGCTGCTGCTGCTGCTGCTCAGGGGCCCCCTCAGAAGGGCCACCCAGCAAGTCGCACTTATTTGCTGCTACAGTAATGCTGCAGTGATCGAGGTGCTGCCGCAGCTCTTCAGTCCAAAACTTGACGGCTTCCAGGGAGGAAGGCGCCCTGCAGCAGCAGCAGCAGCAGCAGCAAAGGCAGCAGCAGCAGAAGCAGCAGAAGCAACAGGCGCATCAGTTGCATAAGCGCAGCACTCTTTTGCAGCTGCAAGAGGATAAAGGCAAACAACAGCTCCTGCTGCCTCAGCCGAACAGCAACAGCAGCAGCGGAAGCAGCAGCACCAGGAACACAAGCAGCAACAGAAGCAGCAACAGAAGCAGCAGCAGCACCAGCAAAAGGATCAGCAGTAGCAAAAGCAGCAGTACCAGCAGCACCGCCATCAGCAGCAGCAGCAACAGCAACAGAAACACACCAGCAGCCGTAGAAGCAGCCACAGCAGCAACAGCAGCATTAGAAGCAGCAGCAGCAGCGGCAGTAACAGCAGCAGCAACAGCAGCAGCAGCAGCAGCAGCAGCAACCTACGTAATGTCGTAAACGACGACAGCTCCTGCAGCATCTCTGTAGTACAAAGGAGCCATTGCACGGAAACGCTCTTGGCCCCCAGTGTCCCAGATGTGCAGCTTCAGCTGGTTACCTGCAGCACCAGCAGCAGCAGCAGCAGCAGGTGCTTGCGGCAAGGCCAACAGCTACACGTAGACGAGCAGCAGCAACGGGAGAAAACAGCAGCAGCAGCGGCAGAGAGAAAGAGCAGAATCAGCGGCAAAAACCAGCAGCGGCAGCGGCAGGAAAAAATTGCAGCAGCAGAAGCAGCAGCAGCGGCATGCTCAAGCCTCACGATTTGCTGCAGAAAAGCAACAGCAGCAACAGCAACAGCAACAGCAAAAGCAGCAAAAGGAGCAGCAGCAGCAGCAGCAGCAGCAGGAGCAGCAGCAGGAGCAGCGGCAGCAGGAGCAGGAGCAGCAGCAGCAGCA